AATTATCGTCAGTGTCCCGTGTTAGGGACATGTGGCCAAGTTTAATGTACTCAAGTATGAAGTTATGATATTCTGATTTTAATTGAATATTGTTTTCAAGTTTTCTCTCTAAGTTCAGAAAACGTGTTTTAGCAGAAGTTTTAGAATCCCTAAGATTGATGGAGATTCCTTTAGAGGAAGAGTAGTGATAAAACGACCATCACAATGGCGAGAAATGTGTTGCTTAAAGTGATTTTCACAATAGTTGTCTTCTTCGGAAACAAACTTGGTTTTAGGACATTCCTCTAGTTCCCAAAACTTTGTGAGCTGTACATCTAATTGATTTGTGGAAGAAAAGTAACAATTTTGTTGGGAGTGATGTTGAATCTTTGTTGGAATGGGGCCAGGGATTATCCAACCAAGAGTGGTTTTTTGAATGATAGGTAAACCAGGACCAAGTTTAATTTGTCCTACGCTTAAAATATCCCAGAATGTATCAGCACCAATAAGAAGATCTACTGGACCAGGTTTTTCAAAATTCTGGTCAGCTAGAAGTAAATTTGTTGGAATATTGAGCTGAGAACGATTGACGTGTGTATAGGGCAAATCCCCTGTAATTTTGGGCAAAACTAGACAGGATATCTTTCTAGAAAAATTGTTGATATGTGATTTAAATGTTAGTGTACTCCGGAAGTTAATACTGTGAGTTAATTGATTAACTCCCGAGATCGAAGTGTTAATTTTTTCCTTTGAAAGTTGTAAAATATTACAAAGTTTCTCAGTTACAAAATTGGATTGACTTCCATTGTCCAATAGTACTCTACATTTATGTAAGTTGCCGAACTTATCAAATACGTTGACAACAGCAGTTGAAAGTAAAATATATGGTTTAACAGGAGTGTGGATAGTTGAACTGATATGATGAGTTGAAGAAAAGGTCGAGGTAGAAGAAGATTCATTAGACTGTAGACTAGTGTTTGGATTATTAGAAGATAATGAAGTTTGAGGCGAAGAGTTGTTTTCCGTGATAAGAGAATTTGAAGATTGTGAGTTTTCAAAGTGTAACATGGTGTGGTGTATCTTTCCACATTTTCTGCAACCAGCAGAACGACAATCCTTAGTAGGATGACCTGTGCCAAGGCAATTAATGCATAAACGTAAACGTTTTGCATTATTTAACCTATTAGTAGGATTTAGTTTTAAAAAGCCAGGACAATAATATATTTTATGTTCTTTATTGCAAAAAATACATTTTAACCTGTTTTCTGTGCTAGAGACAAAAGATCTCGTGTCAGTCTTGTAATGTTTATGACGGGGTGGATTTCGGTCCTGTTTATTATCATTATAGCTGTCTAATGATTCTAAAATACGACATCGTTCTTTTAAAAACTTTAATAAATCGTCCAAAATTGGTACGTCGCCTGTACAATTTTGTGATTCCCAACAACGTCTTGTTGAGTTGTCGAATTTCGTTGATAATAAATAAATAATCAAATCATCCCAGTGTTGTGTAGGGCGTTGCAAAACTTCTAATGCGCGTAAATGTTTTTGAATGTTGTCTAGAAGTTGTCTGAGACCTTGATTTGACTCTTTTGTAATAACCGGTAAATTAAAAATGGCTTTAATATGATTATTTACTAGTAATTGTTTATTTTCGAATCTTTCAATTAGTAAAGCCCAAGCAATATCATAATTAGCATCACAGACTTGTAAAGATTTGATAGTTTCGGCAGCTATGCCGCGTAAAGAAAGACGTAAGTAATGAAACTTTTGTACATTTGAAAGTGATGTGTTATCATTAATAATGGAATTAAAACTGTCGCGAAAGAAAAGCCATTGATCAAACGTTCCATCAAAGGTAGGTAGATTTAACGAAGGTAATTTAATGTTGCTTGTATTTGTAGGACTAGCTGCTATTGAACTATTGACACTGCGTGAATCAGACAATTCAGTAGGTTGTCTAGATGAAATAAGTTTTTTAGTGTCAGATATTATTTTAAAATATTTATCTTCAAAAGACTGTCTTTCAATAGCATGTATTGTGTCATAGTTTATCTCACAGTCAGGGTCATTAGTTTCAATAAGCAGTTGAGCCTCATTAAAAACCTCTAAAAGCTCTTTGGCTTTAGATAAACGATTTTCCAAGTCTACGATGTCTATAGTATCAGTGTGTTCGATGCTTCTAAAGTATGTTGTGAAGCGTGTAAGAGCACTTTTAGCGGCTATTCGCTTAGTTTTGTTTAGATCAGACATTCTGTAATAGTATGATTAAATGTATGGAGATGTAAAATAATGAAAAAAGTATGTATGTTTGTTTAGATAATGGATGAAGTGTAATGTATGTAATGTACTTATACAGGTGTAAATTAGGAAAATATGTTTGTTGTTTAAAAATAAATATGTTTCATTTAAGTAGAGACAATGGCGATAAATGTTTCAGTTATTAAAAATATTATGTAGGTATGTATTAACGATTGTATTAGTTAAATTTTGGTATAATAAAATCAGTTTAGCACATTCACAACGAATACGAGAGTAGGTAAGATATTTGATGTAAATGATATCCCTATTCGAAATAATGAAATGTATTAATTTGGTTTGAAAACCATGTAAAATAAATCAAATAGAGACCGTAAATGTTTTAAAAGTGGTAAATAAAAGGAATGGACTGACCTTGTTTTATCCAGTTTTAGTGTAAAATGCAGCCTCGTGGGGTTGTAGGACGGCAATATGGCGTCGTATTTTGAAGAATAAAGATGTTTTCTTTATAATCTTGCTGGAAGCTGGTAATAATTATTCATTCGTCTTCGAAGGACCATGTGTGAGCGTGTGTGAAGTATTTTGAGAATTTCACGTATAATTTTATTAAATAAACACTATAAACAACAAACTAACTGTACAATAATGACTTAAATATATAACTTAAAAATGTCTTCATCCAAGCGGGGTTGTCGTCGATCTCTTCTTGGCTGCTCTCCCTCCCGGCGTAAACCGCCCTTGTCTCTCGCTCGCATTCGGTGGTTCGTGGTTGATCGTGACGCAGGCGCATAATTTGTAGGTTTTAAACTATAATGTGCGCGAGCAGGTCCGTACTTAAACAGAGCAATAGTCAGGTTTACAGCCTTTTCTTTTTCAGACCATCCATTCGCTCTTGCAGCTGATTCGAACTGTTTCATGTAGTTGTTCCACGATGATTTTCCGTCGAAAGTTGGGACTTTGACATGAACGGAAATTCCACTTCCTTCAAATTTCGGCCGTGTTTCCAACTTACATTTCGTCTCGTCTTCTTTTGTCTCTATGGTAATTGGATTGTTTACTCTCTCTGTTGTTCCTGTTCCCTCAATCTTCCTTTCCAACTCTTTCCATATCTTCTCTTCGAAGGCCATCATATCGGCAGCAACTTGGTTTTTTAATAAAGACACTCTATCGTCGAGAGCAGACATCTCAGAAGTGACTTTAGAGATTTCCAAGGAGATGTTAGCTGAAACTTTGCTTTCTAGGGAAGAGATCTCGTTAGAAATTTTGTCTTCTAAAGAGGCGATGTCACTGCGAACTTGGGCTACATCACCAGAGATTTTGGCTACGTCGGAAGAAACTTTGTTCTCTAATGATGCGATGTCACCAGAAACCTTGGCTATCGACGAGATGACAGCAGCATGCTTGTCTTCAAATATATAAGTTTCCGGATTCAAACCTTCTTCCTCCAAAGCCTTCTTTAGTCGTTGGACTAACTCAGTCTTTTTTCCGGTAGAAGCTAATTCTCTGTCTTCAAGATGCCTTCTTAGATTCGTAACTGTGAGCTCGTAAATCGTAGCCATTGTTCACCAATTTCACTTCTTTTCAAAAATTCAAATTAAATTTATCTAAAATTCCACTTCTGCACCACTGTTACGTCTTTTTATTGTTCTAATTTATTTGTCTTTATTCTAATTTATTGTCTATATTCTAATTTATTAAAACTCACGATAACTAATTACGAATTTATTAAAGTCTTTATTAATCCTAATTACAAATAATTTATTTTCGCTTCGTTACAAGTAAACCGCGTTTCCCGATCTTCTTATGACTAACTGCCAAATAAGAAATCTTTCATTTATATACACAACTGTTGTTATCTCGAAATTTTGGCGGCCTTCTACATTATAATGGAATAATCTCGTACTTTGGTGAAGGCGCTCGACTCGTTTTTCAACCTCGAGACGTGGATTACTCATAAAATTAGGGTCTAGATTATTCTGTAAACAACTGGTATCGAAGCTCAGGTAGATTTTGACCTACAAATTACGAGAATCAATAAAAAAGAATTAGTCATAAAATATTTACAGTTCTATATGCCATAACATTTAAAATCGTAACAATACATTTAAATATGGAGGAAAAATTTTATTAGAACAGTAGAAAAGTACGAAAGCATGATTTTTTGTACAACGCGAAAAATATCGTCCAGTACTCTCTGGATTCATATCGGAGCACAAACAGCTATCATTTCCTATTCTTTATCTAATCAATCCATCTCTTCTTGTAGGTAATTCATTATATTATAAGCACTATTTCATTAGTTTAAAAACATCAAAATGTCAGCATAACACACATTTTACAACAGATATATGTGTCCAGTATATCTGATATATCGCATTCTGACTTGCCCTGTTAACACGTGTTAAAAATGTGTGCTTAGCTTAATTCTCAAGTTAATTTTTAAAAAGCTATTAACTCGAACGTTATAGGGTAAGTTAATGATTTTCTCACAGACATCTGAGTAACCGTTTGCAAGTGGTTCTCAGATTTGATAAAAAAAAATATGAATATAGCCAATTCTAACGTAGGACAATAGAAGATACACAACGAAATAAGTAATTAAATAAGGTCATTTGTTAAGCATATTAAGAATTATAAAAATGAAATATTTAAATAAGCACTAAATATTTTTCCAAACACCATCTATGAACATATTGAATTATACCAAATATAACATGCAGAAATGAATCCAAGTTCACCAGTAAAAAAATATATTTTTACAGACATAGCAGTGGTTATCCATCTTTAAATGAAACTCTTACACCACAAAGACAGGAAACATCAGACATTTACAAGGAACTAAGGGAGTGGAATTCAGAGAATCACACGCCACACAGAGGAACAGAAAAGCACAAGAAAAGGTAAGTTTTGCATATTTATTTAATGTTCAAATTTAAGGCACGGGGCCCTGACTAATGAGAAACTTCACTCATGCCAGATACTTACAGTATCAAAAGGATTGAGCTCTGGGAAAACTCTTTCAGTATTATCGAGTTCTAGGTGACCTGGTATGCAGGAGTATCTTACAAAAAAATGTTGAACGCATTTTAACGTCGCGAGTAGTACCGCTTTTTGCTGGTCTCATAGAATTTTTTACTAAGACGGAGCTGTTTGATGTTCTCTAGGTTTTTCTAAATTACACCAGCAGTAGAGAGGATAATAGGTATCGTTTGGGTACTTTTAATTCTTCTGGATACATTTCAGGTAATTCCTTATTGAAATAACCTAATCCTGAATGGCTCTGAATCCTGAATGAAACTCATTGTTGGGGGAAACATCTTTCCTGATTCCACCCAATAGTTCGAAGTTGTATTGTCGACATCGTATTGGATGACTTAATGAGCATGTCGTCCATGTAGGGGTTTACTCATGCAGATGCGCAGTTTTTTCTTCCTTAGTAAGATGGTTTCTGCTCATTTCTTTTTTAAGAAACCAGTTTAAGAGGTTTTGTGCCTTTGTGACAAGTATTTATTTATTAGTACTATTATATAATTGTTGATAATTTTAGTCATTTTAGTTTATAGTTGATAATTTTTTATTTATAAGTATAAATCATTTATTAGTTGGTAGTAAATATTATAAATTATAGTTTTTATCAGAATAGTTTTAAAAATTCATCTGTTTATTATACGTAAGGAATTAAAATATCAAACAATATACCTATTTACCGATTTTAATCTCACGGATTTCATAACAACATGCCGAATATCCTTGAAACTATTTAAAAGTCACAGGACACAAAAGATGTGAAATTCTATTAAATTAACAAAAAAAGCACGTTGAATATGAAATATTGTATGAACGATAAATGAAAGTTTCTATTTTCTTATCTTTTGTAAAAAACCGTTTGTGAAATGAAGCGATATAATAGTAATTTATGCAACAAGTGCAGAAAGTGATACATTTGTTTTCACGAATGGAGAATTTTTCAGCACGAGTCTTCAGGGACGTGCAGTAATTTCATGACCGAAAAACCTCTGATAACTGATAGCGAAATTATATTGAATATTAATTTAATTTGACATTGTGGTACAATTAATGACAATATATAAATAAATTATGTAACAATTTATGAATGTGTTGCTTGTGTGAGTCCATATCAAATAGGTAAAGAAATAATAATAAGACTTACTCACAATCAATTTAATTTAACAATCTGACGACCGGTTTCGCTTTCTACAATTTGCAAAGCATCTTCAGGTCTAGATACAAAGTTAAACTAATGCTGCAATAAAATAAACCCAATTAGGGTGGTGTCTAATAAAGATAAAATAAACAAATAAGTTAGTTCATACAAATTCTAGTAATTATGCCAATATTACATGTCTGTGGTTTTCAAAATGAATAAATTTGAATATATATGAAGTTACTTCATTACATAAATACTCAATAAATAACACATATTCCAAAAATATATCTCTGATATAAGTGTAAATAATTTAAATAATACAATAGTAAAGAACATCACTTTCATCTGACAAACAACCACAATATACCTATCTCTAATTCATTGGATCAAATCTGTTCTCCTCAAGAACTTCCCGTTTATTGTCAAAACAACTGCAATAGCACATTAAAGTTCTCCAATCAAAAATACATGATTTTTGCAACCATGACCTACCATCCATCAATTAATAGAGTACCGGCATGTAAGTAATGTTTGTTTTGTTTTATTTATCTGCTCTTTTATTAATTTATTACAATATAATATTACTACTTTATACCAATTGTGGGTCTTACCTTGTCTGTTAATACCTTTTATATATTCAAATTTATTCATTTTGAAAACCACAGACATGTAATATTGGCATAATTACTAGAATTTGTATGAACTAACTTATTTGTTTATTTTATCTTTATTAGACACCACCCTAATTGGGTTTATTTTATTGCAGCATTAGTTTAACTTTGTATCTATACCTGAAGATGCTTTGCAAATTGTAGAAAGCGAAACCGGTCGTCAGATTGTTAAATTAAATTGATTGTGAGTAAGTCTTATTATTATTTCTTTACCTATATGTAACAATTATTAACTAAGCTAATAGCTAGACTTAGCAAGGACATACATCATCTCCTGGATATGCAGATGACCTGATCATCTTAGCCGACGGCAAATTTAATGTGGCAGTCAGAGATCGAATGGAACAGACTACAATGTATCAATCTGACTACAATTACAAAATCGACTTCAAATGTAGGGCTTACCATAAGCACCCAGAAATCCAAAATTATGAGATTTATCAGTAGGCGATTGTGTTGTGTCAACTCAAAAGCACAAATCTCAATTTGGTGGCTGAAGTAAAGTACCTGGGGTAATATTGGACTCGAAGCTTACTTGGAATCAGCAGATATAATAAATAAACAAGAGAGAGATGTTATCACCTACGTTAGCGCATCGAGACGCACTCATGGAAAAATGTGGAGTTTATGACCAGATATGTTATATTGGATTTATAACATGGTGGTAAAACTAACAATTACATTTGAATCGCTGGTTTTGTGGCCAAACCTCTAGCAAAGAAATGTCATCCTCAAACTAAGAAAGGTGCAAAGACTTTCTTGTCTTGAAATCATAGGGGCTCTGGGGGCACATCAACAGCAGATATGGAGGCTCTACTGGTCCTCCTTCCTCTGACATCGTTAAAAGGGGAGAAGCCAGAATGGAATATTATAGATTGCGAGGAAACCTGAGCAACTTAATGTTTATTAGATCAGGACACAGTAATAGCATCAATGGAATTAGGGATACCGAATAAATGATAACTTGTGACCATCAGGTACCGAGATACAGATCTAAAGAAGCTTTCCAAGTTAGCATATGCACATGAGAGGAATAGGGTAGAAGAAACACACGGAAGAAACTCACACTGCAGGGCAATACCTGGTACACAGATGAATCTTAAACTGAAGAAGTATCGGGAGTAGGAATATTCAGTCGTGAAAGAACTGTATAAAATTTTATTCCACTAGACAGAGATTTATGCAATCTTGTATTGTACAAGATAAATTAACATGAGGATTTTCGAATTGAAGTGTGTCAATATGTGCACATATAGACAAGCGGTCATGGTAGCTATTAGAAGCCCTAAGGTGGACTCTAGATTAGTGTGGAAATGCCAAAAACTCGACATACTAGCGAATAATAACAGTGTCACACTGGTACGGGTTCGAGGTCACTAAGGAATACATGGCAGTGAAAGTGCTAATGAACTTTCCAGAAGCGGATGAGCTACAAAATACTTGGACCGAACCGCTAAGGCCGTAAAAGTGCCAAAAAGCACCCTCCGCGACCGGAAAAAGCCTGGATTCGAACACAACGTAACTCTTACTGGGAAAGTATACCCGGTCAAGTACGTGGAAACATGTATATTGATATGTGAATTTCTGGCACATAAAGGTAGTTTGTTCTTTAGGTCAAAAACGACACCGACCTTGGGTTGTGATTAAGGGAAAATGATTATTGTTATTTAACCTAGTATCGTCAGTCGGCCTAGTAACTACTTGTTTGTTAGGAAATGGCCAAGCAGATGGACGACCTATTTTTGCTTTATATGATTTGAACAGCCTTTTAATTACGTCGTTGCGAAACGTTTTCAATGGAACGATTTTTTTTAATGTTTATTGTATTGCAAAATATATTGAACTTAGGTATCATCGCGGTGACTTAAGGCCAGTTCAGTATAAAGACACAAGTATGTCAGACAGGTACGTTAATTTTCTTTCTTTTGTTCCTTACAGTATCTTTGAACATGAGACATTGTTTTGATGTCAGAAAATGATGAAACTAAATGGGCACATTTATTATTTGCCCATTTATAATAATAGTAATACTAATTTTCATTTCGTTGTCGCTGACACTCTCAAAGCTACCTCGTCTTTTTTTAAGTGATAACTTAAACAATTTCTACTACAATTGTTTAATGTACTACATATTTTGTCGACTTACATTACCTCGGATATGTGCTGGAGTCTAGGGTTAACTGACAATCTAGAGTTAACCCTAGACTCCAGCACAGATCAGAGGTAATGTAAGTCAACAAAATCTCACCAGCTCCTGGGGGTCATGTTAGATGCCCCCATTTTTAGTTTTTATTAATTAACGAAGTTAACGGTCTATTGCATTTACCTTTGTAAATTCCATGAGGATTGTTTTTTGTTACTGATGTCCTTCTATTGTTTTTCTGTGGAACAATGTTTTCAAAGGTAATGGATTTTGACAAGAGCTATGACCTTGTAAATAACAGGCAAACTTGTGTACTGAATCGACATGACTTGTTAAAATCCATTACCTCTAACAACTTTTTATTAAACTGATAATCGAATGATTCAATTCCGAAAAGATCTTCTTTAAAATAAAAGTTTTAAGCTTTTAATAAGCATTTTTTATACCTTGATACACATGAACACCACGTGCTTTGGATTCAACAGGTATACTAGGCACTCCTGGATATCTTCACTTCATGGTTTTGTTCCAGTTTCACTTTTAATTTTGAAGTAAATCAATTATCAAAATATACAATGTTACATGGTTTCTCATGAACACTTCTACATAATGCGACTACCACTTTCTGCCCTATTCCAAAGTATTGTTTTTTTACTTTTCCAAAGTATTTTTACCAGCATAGGAAAAAAATCGTATACGATACCGTTCACTCCACATCTACTGATAACGTTTTTGTGATTTCATAGTATGTACGTTACCTTTATGCCATATATGTATATATGTATATATATATAAATATATATATATATATATATTATATATATATATAAATATATATATATATATATTATATATATATATATATTATATATATATATATATATATATATATATGTATCGTACATTTTTCTTCTCAGG